TTCTGTAAGGGAAGAGGGCACCATAATCCCCATGTATTTAGTGGCTTTATTGGTTCATTCAAAGGGGTTACTAAACTTCAGTGTTTTAAATTTTGTGATGGTACAGTTAGATTCAATATTAATTTTTTTAATGTAGTTGACCTTAAAACCTAATGAGGCACCAAGAGACTCCAATTTTTGCTGTAATAGTGGGAGAGAGGACTAAGGGTTACTAATAGAACAAAACAGGTCATCCACTAAGGCAGACACTTTATATTCGATGTAAGAGTCTTGTATCCGCTCAATGAGTGATTGCAATTGAATGCACTGGAGTTCCATGGTTGCCCAAAGAGGAGAGGGAAAGGGATCATCCCTGTCGGGTACCATTTTTTATGGAGAAAGGCAACAAATAATGGCCATTGCTTTATATTTTTGCAGTGGGAGATGAATAGAGAGAATGTAACTATGCAAGCCAGTTTCTCATAAAGTCCAAGCACTCAAGAGTAGAGAAGAGATAGGACCAGCCCACCCTGTAAAATGCTTTTTCTGAGTCTATTGTCAGGAGGAGAGATGGAATTTTGGAAGTCTGAGTCACGTATAATAGATTAAGGATCTGTACATGTATTGTAGATGTTATCTTTTGCCTCTCTCTGAGACACAAAACCTGCCAGAGCAGGGTGGATAATCCTGGAAGAAGGGCTGAAGGTGTAGAGCTAGGTGTTTATCAAAAATGTTGAGGTCTACATTTATGAGTGAGATAGGGCTTAGGTATAATGATAATATCTTCCTCTGAGAGCAAGTGAGGAAAAGCGGGATAGTTGTGAAAGGATTGAAGGCTCGAAGGAAGTGTGGGACTAGGACAGCACCAAATAATTTGTAGTATTTTGAAGTGGAATCGTCTGGGCCCAGATACATTCCTCTAGTGAGAGTATTCTCCAGTAAGGAGCCTTCATTGGTAGGGATTGTAGTGTGTATATGGCTTACTAACTAATTTTAATGTCCGCCAAAGGGGGTTCTGGGGACGTTCTTTGTACAATCCCTGGTAATATTGTTAAAATATTTTAGTGATGTCTGGGGTTTAGTGTCTAATCTTCCATCATCTTAGCTATGTAAGTGCCCTGATGTCTAGTTTTTTTAGAGCACTAACCAACTATTTATCACTTCTGTTGCCCTGCATGTAATAGGATTTTTTGTGAGAAGGAGGTTTTTTTTTAGCATGAAGTGTAAGGAGGCCTCTCAGCTCAAAACATGTGGCTAACAAGAACCTATAGTGTCCAGTGATTTGGAATGTTTATGTTAGTCCTCCAGGTCAGCAATCCTAGAGCTCCAAAATAGGTTGTTGTTTTTGTTTTTTGGCCCAGGATCCTATCTGCATAAGATACCCTTAAATAACAGCCTTGTGGGCTTCCCAGGTGCGAATGGAGTGACATCCTGAGTTGAATTTATATGGAAATACGATTCAGTATGTTTAGTGAGATCAGTTACATTTTTGGAGTTATCACTAGCTCTGCATAGTTCCACCCACAAATCTCCTCTATTTTCTACCCTAGAATAGCCTTGAGTTTGATGTGTTCCACTCACTTTGGCCTAGATTTAAAGCTTGATCATTAACCAAAGCCTTGTTAGTGAAGTCCAATTAGATGGGCTCACTGGGATCCAATCACCTAACTAAACCTCCTCCTCCTACCAATGCTGGTGCCAGAGCTTTGAGAACCAGTTCCTTGGCTGATTGTTGGACTATAGTCCAATTTTTTTCATTTATTTATTTTTTTATTTTATTTTTTGAATCGGTTATATTTGTGCCTTGGATTTCCTGGTCTTTGGAATAGTTATATTTTGTGTACCAAACCAGGTTTTGCTTATAGTCCTGATATATGGTTTTCTTTCACTTGGCTTGCTTTCCATATATTCCATTTGCATCCCTGCAAGATGAGTGCTACTAGCCTATCCACTCTGGACTAGTAAGTACCTTTCTAGTTCTTCATCCGGTGTAAGCTGTATAATTTCAAAAAAATTTTTTTTACTATTATACATAAAGTTTAGCAATCACTATTCCTGGCTCCTTCAGTCTAGTACATGAAGGATTCAACATTAACCACTGCAATACTGGGATGTAGTCTGGCATCAGCATCAACTGAAAACCTGACAAGTACTTTATCTGCATGGTCTGCTACAAAAAGGCTGAGCCATTAATAACATGGTAGCTAGAACCTGACCAAGCTCAATATGAAGTCCACTGGAATCTGTGGAGGGTGCCTAAAATGAATGGAAGTTATTCAGGTCCCCACTGGAGACAATAGACTTTCAACTTATAAGAGCTTTCATTAACTCGATTTGAAATTACATAAAAGTCAATGTTGTTTAATTGTATGGAATAATTAAATAAATAAAAAAAATCATTATTCATTTATTATTGCAAGTATACTAATTTTAGGGCATTAACCTATTACACCGCACTATATGAGGTATGTAGCACTACAAGAGTAAATACACTAGACACAAGTGACAGTTACATGTGGTTCAATGTCAGTGAGGCCCATAGTCCATACTCCTTTCACGGTAGGATTCTAGAGCTGCTGAGCATTACAGTGGTGGAATCCTAAATAAAGGTTTTATTTTTGCAAATACATATTCTCAGGTTTTTAGAGCATCATGGGAAATGTAGTCCACAAACATCTGCAGTGTCAAAATCTTGAATCTGAACACAACAATATCACTATTAAAGAAGGTTCCTAAAACTATACTCTGCTCCACTTTATGGCTTTATTGTTCTCCTACATGTGCTCTTGTCAGAATTCATATCTAATATTTATTTAACATCTTAGTAATTTATCAGTGTCTCCCTTTATAGTCTGCTAGGATCATCAATCAAATCTAACCTCTCTTTCATTGTCATTGGTCATTTATATCTATTCTTTTCATGACAAGCAGGTAAAAACACAATCAGGACCACAGTGTGTTCTGATTTAAGTAATTACCCCTCATTCAGAAATTGTTATCCAACCATTTCCCGACTGCTGCGTGGAAGCCCACTTTTAAACGCCTTACTGCTGCATTTTACTGTGTATTAAAGAGAAATGCACTTGTTTTATATTGATAAAATGTGTTTTATTCTTATTTTTGTGTTCAGGAGACCTCCCTCTGGCCAGGAATGTCCATCTATAAATTAAAGGCCGTGGATTGCACCTCTCTCCTTTGTGATCCACTTGTTCTGAGTAATTCGCCAAAGCGGGCGAAAGAGGTACACTAGGTCTGCAGGCCACATGCTTTGCCCACCGGATTACCAGAACTACCACTGCAAATATCTAACACACATTCACAACAACTCAATTACCTGGCATGTACACAATACAAGCAATTCCACAGACATCCAACATACACACACACGGCCTACATATAAGGAACCTGGTGTAATTGTAATGCACTTCGTGCAGCACTGACCCAGAAAGCACCTCTAGTGTCGGTCTACGTGACTAGAGGGGTAACTAGCCAGCAAGTAAACACCACCTGTTTTATGAAAAGGTAGTGCTTACATTAAAAAGCCTGCAAGCACAGACTATACATACCAGAACAACTACATTGACATCCAACATACACACACACGGCCTACATATAAGGAACCTGGTGTAATTTTAATGCACTTCGTGCAGCACTGACCCAGAAAGCACCTCTAGTGTCGGTCTACGTGACTAGAGGGGTAACTAGCCAGCAAGTAAACACCACCTGTTTTATGAAAAGGTAGTGCTTACATTAAAAAGCCTGCAAGCACAGACTATACATACCAGAACAACTACATTGACATCCAACATACACACACACGGCCTACATATAAGGAACCTGGTGTAATTTTAATGCACTTCGTGCAGCACTGACCCAGAAAGCACCTCTAGTGTCGGTCTACGTGACTAGAGGGGTAACTAGCCAGCAAGTAAACACCACCTGTTTTATGAAAAGGTAGTGCTTAAATTAAAAAGCCTGCAAGCACAGACTATACATACAAGAACAACTACATTAAATTGTAGTTGTTCTAGTGACTATAGTCTCCCATTAAAGGATTTCAATTATTTTTTTGTTTTGCTGGATGTCCACTGTATAAATGGTAAATTGGCAATTTCAAACAAAAAAAATACTGCAAAACTAATTGTTTAACAAGAGAAAAATGTGCACCTTTAGGTGAAAAGTTTCCAACAAAAAGGATACACAAAAAATGGGTTATGGGGTACTAGAAAGGGCCTCACCCTTATATTAAACACTATACAGAGAAAGAAGAGGAGACAATATCCCTGAAACACAGGAAACAAATCCCCTCAATCTTAGTACCCCGTCTGGAGCAGTGTATTTGCCCACTACCGTGTATTACAAAAAATAATAAAGTTTTATTAGGATCATAAAAATCTCATATGTGAAGTCATAATACACCAAACTAGTATTGGCAAAAAAATGAGGAGATACAAAAAAGAGCAACCTGAAAAGTATGTATCCAATCCGTGTAACTCGATACCACTTTTCAAAATTACAATAACGAAGTAGTAAAAAGAAAAAAGAAAACTACTTCAAATTGCAACAAATAAGTAACAGTATCCAGAGGATTACACATAGGAGCCTCACAGGAGCAAAAAGTGCATTCTAGTTCCCTCAAGTTGCCAATAAATTCACTCTTCACTGTTTAAATAACTATAGATATAAGGATATATATACACATGGTCCTAGTATTATTCTACAGGTATA